TTGCCAACATCTTTTAACACACCTGAACATTATTCTGATTATCTTAAAAATTCTTGCTGGGTTTGTAGTTTTCACAGCGGCATCTTCTGCGACAGAGCGCCATGAGTCGGATTTAAATTAACCGGCAATGCTTAGCTTTCTCTTCGAACCGATTTAAATTAACCGGCAATGCTTACCTTACTCTTCGAACCGATTTAGATTAACCGGCAGTGCTTAGCTTACCTTCGAACCGATTTAAATTAACCGGCAATGCTTAGCTTACTCTTCGAACCAATTTAAATTAACCGGCAATGCTTAGCTTACTCTTCGAACCGATTTAAATTAACCGGCAACGCTTAGCTCACTCTTCGAACCGATTTAAATTAACCGGCAATGCTTAGCTTACTCTTCGAACCTAAATATGTTGACGACGTGTTTCTCCGAAACGTTGGTTGGATTTAACTATACTGTACTATAGTCTCATTATGCCTTAAATATTTGTCCTTACAATTCCATGGAATGGAAGCATAGCTACAAGCAGTCGAAGCATAGTGATAAGCAACGGAAACATAGCTACACACAATTGAAGCAAACTAGAAGCAGTGGAATCATGGCTGCAAGCAATAAACATCAACAACAGTGGTGGAATTAACCCTGAATTTCTTTTAAATAATATACTCATACACAAATTCAGTTCGTACCTCACAGGAAACACATGTCTCCACTACGCAGATCAACTAGTTAACACTCTTTAGGGAGAAAAATCTGTTTGCTCTAAGAACGACATGGAGTTTTAGTGATCTAAAGCAGATGGTACACGTAGAATATCTGGGCTTTGAAAGGTTATTATTCGGAATGGATTATGGTAAGTAGTTTTGTGAACACATTTTAATATATTTGTTGCTATTAAATCAGTTGCAACGAACAGTAAATCAAAATTTCAAACAACTCCGAAACAACGGTTAAGAAATATTAGAGTTAATTTTACCGACCACACAACAAGTTTTTACTGTCACACTACATGTTTCGACCTCAAGAGGTCATCCTCAGGTGTACGAACACACGTGTTGTGTGGTCGGTAAAATTAACTGTAATATTGATTAAATACACAACAGGATGCAAGAAACAATTAAACGGTTAAGAATTTAATGCACGCTAGATTCTAAAGGGTTCTGATGATAATCTATAAAACTTAGAATTACTTGAGTTTTTGGACTTTTTCCATTGTGTGGTATTCTAAAATGCAGAGAACAAAACACCTATTCTGTTGGGTCCATTAGAAAGAGCTGATGTCAGTCACTGGACAGTGGTTGCTTGGTAATGGAGTGTAGCGGAACCTGTTAGAATTACACTCAGTTGTGTGAGGATACAAACGCACCATGCGGTGTTACGTCAGGAGTGTGAGCGCCACAAACAAGCTGATACGGGGAAGACGATGAAAGAAGTGTACAGAGCAGTAATTCGCCACTAGCATGGAGAGGCACGTCTCGTGGTTCAATCCACTCACCTCACTTGTTCCTATCCCAAAACCCAGTCCACTGTATGCGCCTCGTTTCACTGCCTGATATGGTTCGTAAAATCAGAAGAAAAAAATGTCTCTCTTGTCGTTTGTTTCAGAAGAGAGCTTATTTCAGTACTTACGAGTATATTTAGTCTCTCGTGGTTCATTCCAGTTCGTTATGACGATGTTGGTCTAGAAATAAACACAAAGAACAACGATTACTGGTACATGTTTGTGTTTCTTCCACAGAATAGAGGACGAATTAATAATGGAAACATACTGTCATGTATTAGGGGTTTGCGTGACTAATAAGAACGGGTTGTGGACTGGATGACTGCATTTATTGACGCATTCGTTTACAGTCTCTCAGAATCACTGTCAATTACGACAACTCGCAATAAATCTACTGCCGAGGACTCGCTCCATTCTCGTCCTATCTCAATTCTCTTACAATTTCTGAACTTCTGAAATACCTGAGCAAGTCAAAGTCACATTGCGACTGACTGTCAGTCACTCTGTCTGTCTTGGTGTCAAGTCCGGTTGGAGCTCATGACCAGATGTTGCTTTTTAAATGAAAGTTACTGTCCTGTCCATGTGGGGCGCCCTCTCTGACGAGAAGTAGGGTCTGTCATTTGTCAGTCATAGCCGATAGTATTAGTCCATTGTCACTATGTACACTTATTTACAATTGAGTCTTAATATATAGTATGTATAAAATATACAAGGCCTCTGTCAGTCCAGGCTCAATACAGCAGATTATGCCCTATTTCTAGTAGTATTTGCTATAACGGCAGTCTAGTTACTTGAACGGTCGTATGCCTGACCGCCGCCAATTTTAAGCCTCGTATACTCTTGCACTTTCTCTGTCGGGCTTCGCCTTGTCCGATGTTGCGAACATTCTCATTATCATGATTTTGTATGACTTCTGCTTATTGCCTGCTTAATTTTGTTATATAGTTATATATCCCGTACGTAAATGCCTGAGCATTCCCACGTGTCCCCCATTTATAATTTCGGGAAGGACTGAATAGAAATCACCATCTCCAAAAGTTTCTCTGTTATATTGTGCTTATTCGTTGCTGCGGAAACGCGTTTAGCAACCCGTTACCCGGCAACGAATGTCCTTCCACTGTTGAGAGCATAAGTTCGGGAATGTGTTTACCGAGCCGTTGCCTAGCAATGGTCATACACGTCACAATGCCATATCTAAAATTTTTAGATGTAAGATTCTTACTCGTACAGCGGTAGCTATGCAGGATATAATTCGTAATATCCGATAATAAAAAAAGATACAAATACAGATTTGGATACGACGCAGTATTCTAAAGTGAAATGTAAGGCGCATTCTTCGACCCCAAAAACAGAGGCGATACTTTCCTTCGGAATTTCGATGAACATCTACCTAACTACACGGCGTTATGACCTAGAAGATCGTATTCTTCATATCTAATACATTCTGTGACAGTGTAGCAAGATATTGCCAAGCGATTGACTATGGACGGGGTTTGGATTGATAATCGGATTTATTGAACAATTAGAGATCGTGACTACAAGTAACTAGAGCTCTGTCGCAATTCACACGCACAGCACTTCACTACAGCACTTGCTAAAGCTTCTCAGTCTGCTGTGTCTTCACCAGTCCTTGCCTGGTGACGGATCCCAACAATGTTCTTGCTTCTGTGCTCACATTCTTACCGGTTGGCGACTGTCCCACAACTGACAACTAACTCCCAGGCTGGCGGCAGTCTTACAACAACCTCCTACTCTTCTCACAGCCGTCTCAGAACTCTCTTTCTGTCAGAGTCAGAGTTACTTTACGACTGGCGATTTACTGCCAATCAGTTCGTCTTTGCGTCAGGCCCCTTGAGGCCCACGACAAGAGATGTTTTTTTCCAACTGAACTCTTGCGGTAATAGTCCTTATGTAACATCCTCTCTGACGAGAAGATGAATACATTCGACCTTTTGTCAAGTGTATACATTCGACCTTTTGTCAAGTGTATATTTCGCACATATAATATGTTATCGAAAACTCTTCCTTTTGCTTTACACACAAGTCTTCTGTCAGTACAGGCTTTACAGAGCAGATCATGCCTAACTTACAGATCTTATGCTACAATGAAAACTTCAGTCAATTGAACGGTCATAAGCTAGACCACTGCCAAGTTTAAGCCTCTTATATTTTCTGTGTCTGGCTTCACCTTGTCCTATACGGCGAACATGTTCATTGTCATGATTTTGTATGACTTCTGCTTGTCGTCTGTATAATCGTATACATATGGAACGTTGAAAGCCGTGTGCAAGTCGCGGACTGGTGTGCACCTTGGAAAATTCCCAGTGGTGTGCAATACCTTGTTTTGCATGTGCTGCAATTTTAGGAGGTAGGTGTCTGCCGCTAATTCCCAGTTAGGACAAGCGTAAGTCATTACTGAGCTGATCAGTACCTTATAGAGGGATAATTTAATGTTTGCGTTTAAACTCTCACTTTTGAATATGGAAGAGATTCTAATAAATGTTCTGAAGGCCTTGGCTTCAATCATTTCTATGTGAAGTCTCCACATAATCCTCTTATCGAAGATTACGCCCAGGTATTGTTTAGTTGTTTGTTTCGCGATTGTTGCGTATCAAGGGGTCTACACTGTCGAATATTAATAGTAGGGAATTAGAATAAAGAATCAGAATTACGTTCATCAACAAATTTAAAATTAGACTGATTTCCTGGAATATTTTCTGCAATTAAGTTCAGAATATTTTTTCTTTTTAAAACTATTATTTTATTTTCTTTTCAGTATTGAATATCATGAAGGGATTCTGAATATGAGAAACTGGATCCCCGTGTATTAAATAATAAGAACATCAGTGTTGTTTGCCATAGGCAGTCAGCACATATCCTGGTGCGCCCATAAGGGTACGTGTCCAGGCCACGTACCTACTCTAACCTGGGACTGGGAATGTTTAATGTAAAGTCCTGCTCTGACATCCATGAGACAATGAAGGGAGTTTTGTGTGTGGCAGAATTTCCATAGATTCATTACACCTTCCTTCCACGCTCATTCAACCTGTAGCCTATCTCATTAGTTCCATTTCGTTTCTCATGCCAATATTAGGAAGAGAAACCAAAAAAGAAAAAAAGAAAAATAGCTTGACATGTATAATGTTTCAACCTGAACCAAACAGAAAGCACCCTTACTAAATCACCCTTTTCTTCTATCTCGCTAAAAGTTTCCGTCGTTTCTTCCCTCTCTTTCCCTCCAAGCCACCCTCAGTCCATTTCAATATCCGCCATTCTTGTCTGTCCTCTTTTGGAATTTCCCTCGCCACCAATTTCAATATTGAACACCATCTGGTGTTTGTCTTGGGAAAACGATGAAGATTGAGCTATACTCTTAACCACTCCTTATTTCTAGGGCCCGTATCATTTACCCCCCCCCACACCCTGAATCTGTTCTGATTATAACCTCCACACACATCAACAGTTGATGTGGTTTGATATTAAAGGAGGGACATTTTTCTTTTTCCAGAGCCACTGTTGGAGTGTACTGCCACTTGAAGTAGTCCATGAGCAGCAAGGATTACTGCGTCAGCATCCAATGGAGTAAGTCATTGTGGAGCATTCTACTGATGTTTTCCATTTTGCTTCATGCTTATCTGATAGCATCAGATATTGGGCCGTCTCAGTAATAGAGACATACAACATTTAGAACCATGACGTCTGTGTACAGCATTGTAGGAACCGCGATAACTCAGTTGATAAGTGACTGGGCTAACATCTCGATGGCCGGGGTTCAGGTTTCAGTTCTCGGTAGGGGGCAAGATATATATTTTCCCCACATATTGTCCGGACTGGCTCTGAGGCCGACCCAGCCTCCTATACTGTGGGTACGGGGAATTGTTTCCCGGCGGGTAAGACGGGAGAGGCGTGAATCTCACCACTCTCCTCCATCTACTGCGGATGAGTCATATCTCCACTTCCCTATACGTCATTTCTGGCATAGTGCCTAATCAATTCAGCCATTTGCATATATTTTATACTCACTTTACACCGACAAGTGTCTCATTACTATAGTGTTCAATTTTATGGAATTATCCATCACTCTACTTCTTTTTATTTCACCAAAGTTTCGAGACTGAATTGCCACCGTTCTCAGATAAAATATCAGCTCTGCTGGGCACATTCAGTACAGCTAGCTAGCTCCTATGTCCGAAAGTATGGAGAATGAACACAACAGAGTAGGTCTTTTTTACATGGGGAGGTAGGCAAAACCCAGTCTCCGAAACGTCGCTTCAGATAACAATTACGCTGATGGATAATACTCAGAATATTAACAATTTTTATTAAATTAATAAACAACCGCCACTAATGTTTAGAGCTGTTAGTTTTGGAAAATACGTATCGGTCTGACAGGAAATTAGTTGATTGTTTTTAGGAAATTCGGTATCAATTCGCGCAACTGCTGCTCTACTTCAGTTAGCAAACAAGGGTCCTTCTCGACTAGGTTTTACTCATTCAGCCACGGACCTCACAGTGTTATATCCCAGAATATACAACTTCATAACTACCGCTTTCTTCAGAACTTAAAATTCTGCTAACCATGACGTCTTTCAGCTCTGCGTAGTCTAGACGCTAAACTACCGCAAAATAATTTACTACTCACCACATTATACTCTAACGATCTGAAGGCGTCGGTAATTCCATCAAGAAGAATTTAAAACAATGAATAAAATCCCATGAAGGAAATTACTTCTCTTTAATTATATGAATATTATGATGGACGTTGCCCATCAAATTGGGTATATATTTAAATTATACTACCTTTCGGAAGCCGAATCTGCTTCCGTCATCAGGTGTAAAATAGATAGACTCCTATTCAGTTAGACACGTTAGAAAACCTGGTCACTGGACGAGAATCTGATATAAAACTAACTCAGAACTGCTCAAACTCCATTGGAAAAATCGAAATTCTTCCTTCAAGCGTCGTTTCTTTGTAATTTTTCTGTCACTTTCAGACGTTTGTTCGGTTAGAGCAAACCCGGGGCCTCTGGGCACAAGAGTAGTTTCGCAAGAATTTATACTGTACTGAAGCTGTGGTGGTTTCTACAAGGTGACTCAAGTGGGTGTTGGGTGGTTGGCAGTTTAGAAATTCGCTTCGTTACATCATCCGCTAGTAATTGCATCTCCCAGGAAGCACGCAAGATCCAATTTGTCCGTGCGAGTGGGTCTTTGACACCTCTCTTTGCTTAGGAAACAGGGGTTCTCAGCATGCCTAATCCTTAGAGCAGTTCTGGGAATTTCAGACATCACTTATTTGATGATACGCTCTTTATTTGTTACCCTGTATCAGGGATGGCGAGTCGTTGGCACGATTTATCTGGCACAGGTAATTACGGATTTTATATGTACGAGTAGTTGATTAAGGTACTGTGCTAAGGCCGCGCCATAGTTCAAGCGGTTAGTCGCTGGCTTCCCACCGCGGCGGCCCGGTTTCGATCCCGGGTGTGGTCAAGTGGGATTTGTGGTGTACGTAGTGGCTCTGGGGCGGGTTTTCTCCGAGTACTTCGGTTTCCCCTTCCAATCTTCATTCCACCAAATTTTCCATCATCATAATCACCCGGGGTAGCCTACAATAGGCCAATCAGTGGCCGCCGTGCCGAGTGGACACAGTTGGACTCCACCCCCCACTAGGCGAATTAAAAAAAAAATGTACTGTGCTACAAGCCGTAAGGTCGCGAGTTCCATTTCTGATGGGGTAATTTGATTTTCTAGCCGTACTATTGCCCTGGAGTCGACTCAGCCTCTTAACAGAAATGTGTACCAGGAGTCTTCCTAAGGGTAAAGAGCGGCCGGCGCGGAAGGCTGACAACATCGCCGCCATCTGTGATCCGATTGTCTGGAAAATGTGGGAGCCTCGATGTCTCACAGCCCTATCAGCCTCCACGGACTGTTACAAGGATAGCCTTACATTTTAATATGAGTATTTATTCAGGTACTTTACAAATCACCAGTTTACCAAGCCATAATTCTATTACACCCTCTCCTTGTACTGAGAGTTAATGTTACTTAGAGAACGAGAGAGAGAGCCGGAATAGCTCAGTCGATATAGCAAAGGGTTGGGGTTTGATTCCCTGAAAATGCAAGCTTTTTCTCCTCCACAGCGTCTAGACCGGCTCTGGGGCCCATTCAGCCTACTGTCCAGCGGGTACAGGGGGTTGTTCCCCTGAGAGTAAAGCGGCCAGGGCATGAAGCTAACTGCGCACATCCATCTAGTGCCGAGGCCAAGAATGGTGGAGCTATACCTCCCCTCCCTCCGCATGTTATCGTGGCGTGGTGCTTAACTAATTAAGCATAGGGACAGGTTTAATTGTACCCTTTATTCAGTGAAAGACAGGGAGACAGCAAGGGAAACACGAAATTGTCTTTGTCTCGTAGATTATTTTCAGTCATGAACAAATGAAGTCAGATTTGAGGAGCCGCAGTAAAAACAAAGCCAACGCTATTTTCGCCGCTTTGAAAGGATCCACACACCAGCCAAGGTTTGAAGAATGTGCACCATCAAATATCTTAAGTTTTCCAGGTGGTACTCGATCACCGAAGGCAGCGTAACATCTCATGCAAGTGCGTCCGCTTCTTATCCGTCTTTTTCTGCATATATGAAGTAGGCTACAGCCTATTCCGGCTTCTAGGGGCAGCTTCCTTTTCTGGGTCTTCCTTCTAAATTTCTACGCCTCGCTTGCGACAGGCAAACTTTTAAAGTACTACTGAGACATTTTATACGTTCGCCCTCCCGGCCGTGTGCAATGTGGTTTCCTTGATATTGACCACAGAAATCGTGCTGAAAATTGCGAATTGCAGCGGTTCAGTCGTCATGCAGTGTACAGTTATGTGTAGCAACTCCTGAATGTTATCCTGCACATCCGAATGTAAGGCGACAACATATTTTTCCAAACAGAGAATATTTTTTTTTTACAAAACAAGTAAATATCATTCTTTTAAGAAATAATAAATTCTTCATATATATTTCTTTTACGGACCTGAAAATAAGGTGATCCCTGTTCTCTAAGAAACAGTAAATGCAAAAAAAAAAAAAACTCGCCTTATATTCGTGCTTGTGCTATATTTATAACATGATCTAATCGATGAAGCCTTATTTGGCGAACATGAATGTCAAAGTCGAGATAGTATCAGATGATTCTGCCCCTATCTCCATTATCACATTAACCCCCAGATAATGGAGGCGGAAACAATCTCCGAAACATTGAATATTAATTTCAAATATAAAACTTTGTTGTTCACAGTCGGCCTGAAAGCTTCATGATACAATATCTTTAACACCGCGGAGATGGGATGTTAGTAGCAGATGTACCAACGGGAATTTTCTGGTAAGCTTAGATAACAGCTTGGTATACTTTATTTTGGTCTATAATACTTGTGAGGGGAACGGCTGACGTAGAAATCACACTGACGTGTACGTCATTTGAAAACGGGGATAAACCGAAGTATTAGGCAGTTCAGTGAATGACACTTGAGCTGCAAGTAGAATCCAAGCCGACTGAACTACTCATGTTGAAGAAGTTGGGACTCTGAACCTACCGTCTCCTCCGGAAACAATACAAAATTATTATAAATATGCGCCCCAGCCTTGAGAAGCGATACTGATCTTGTTGGTATTGTTTTGGCCTCTGGCTACAGCAACATAGTAACAAGGAAAACGAGATTGAACAGACACTTCAAAAGGTTGTCCTCCCTTTTAGGACATCTGTACCCGTGATTTCGACTGTGCTGTGCTTCAAATGTATTGTGGCGCATAGATCCCTTGCTAGGCTACGGCTCGGAAAGCAAGACCGCAACAAATAACAACAAAGAGTAGAATGGACCTATTCCTAGGCAACGTCCGCAATACACGTAAGCAACAATGAAGGACATCCATTGCTAGGCAACGGCTCGATAAGCGAGCCCGCAACAAATAAGCAACAAACAGTAGAGTGGACCTATTGCTAGGCAACGTCCGCAATACACATAAACAACAATGAAGGTCACCCATTGCTAGGCAACGGATATGTTTTCTGTACCGTGGTACAACCCGAGGCTATATAATGAGAATCCAACTAATTGACAGTTCAGTCATAAATCAGACCAGAATGGAGCCAGTGGTCGTTGAGCTCAGAATACAGAGGAAGAGGAAGAGTAGCAAAGCAGAGAGAACAGAATACGACCAAAGGCAGAAATCAGACATAAGTCAGAAGAAAAAGTCAGGGCGAAGTCTTTATTTTATGTGGTGTAATCACAGTAACCTTTAGAGTGATATCATGGCTCGTAGTTACGAAGTGCTATAGTTACAGTAAGACTGTGTTACAATTAATTGCAGTTCTGCCTGGCGAATATCCAGGGAATGGCTTCATTTAATCAGGAACCCATTAATTACTTGTCACGTTACCAGGATACACGAGACAATAGTTTCACATGAAACATAAAATATTGCCTAAATTATATGTTGCAGGAATAGATTTACCTGTTAATATTTTGTAATACCAAATATTCATTATCCAAACAATATACAGTTATGTATATCTGTGGGTAAGCATTTTTATCTGATTTTG